CACAGAGCACAACAGGCTAGATGGCTTAAAACAACAGAAATGTACTCTCTCACAGGCCAGGAGGCTAGTATTCCAAAATTTAGGTCTCAACACAGTTTATTCTGAGGGCTGTGAGAAAGAAGCTTCCATGCCACAGGGAGCTTCCATGAGGACAGCCAGTCATTCTGGCCATCCTTTGGCTTGCAGATGCAGCTCTCCCAGGTCCATCCCACAGTCCCGGCACCCTAAGTCAGCATATCTTTTTGAAGTGCACAATTCAATCTGTAACTGCTACTTTCTGCCAGATGCAAAGCCCAGGCCACCTCTCTGGTCCTGACACTCTTTATGACCTTGATCGGCTCTCTACCTTCACAGTGAACAGAATTTCAGTACAGATATCTTGTTATTTTCTGAGATATATCCATGCCCATTCTACTCACTCACCAGCAATTCTGACACAGGTTCTAGGCAAATCCAGCCTAGGAGCCAATACTTTAAAAATAAAACCAAAAAGCAAAATATGAATAATGATCATTCAGAAATGAAAATCACTGAGGTTGATCTGAATAACAATATTTTAAATCTGGAAACCAAAGCCTATAGCGGTGAAATAATATGTCCAAAGATCACTTGGAACATAAATAGAACAATGGGTTTAAATATTTTATTTGTAGCTTAAAATTGAACGGCAATATTGTCAAGAAAGAATGCACACGTAGTTTATGCATTATATTCTCATTTCTTTTGAGGCACCACTTTTGAAGACTGCCTACCTGTCGTCACTACCACAAGCAGGTACTACCTGCAGGCCTCGGAGAAAACTACAGGCAGCACACATTGCGCAGGAGAAAGTCCACCACCAAAAATGGAGCTTTCACTCCTTACCACATTTTAGCAAAGCAATGTCACAGGGAGTTGAGAGAAGGAAGAGATTAGTGTGGGTTGAAATAGACAGATCTGGCTTCACAAAAATGGTTTTCAAAGATGTCTAAGATCTACGTAACTAGAGTTGGGGAAGGAGAACATCTAAAGTAGGGAGAATAACATAAGGAAACTCAGAAGCAGGAGCAAGTCTAGTGGAAGGGAAACACACTCATGAACCGGGCATAAGCACCAAAGAGCACATTTCAGGGAAGGATGGAGAAGATGGAAAGGGATGGGGGGATCTCTTTGTTTTCAGAACCGTGGAACATGGTATAAATGTCTGTGTGCTTACGAAGTTATCATATAATATTGTCTAAACAAGACAGTTTAGAGGGTGACAATAACTGCTGATAATAATGCTGCAGTATCCGGGGGACACCAAAGTTACAGCATAGATATTGAGATGGTTGCCACGACTTATGGGAACATTGGAGCATTTGCTGAAAACCAAAGCGGTCCCATGAAGCTAGGGCTTCTTGGTGCCATATGGATTAATATTTGGGGGAGGTTAGTGGCAGGGATTGAAAGCAAGGAAGTGACTTCAGTAGGACAGTTTGCGCCAAAGCCTCAGCAGTGAACCACATGATCTTTAAAACTTTTCCTCTTCTTTGGTTCTCTGGTAGCAAAATTAAATAGCATAGAATATCTGTGAGCAGATATTTAATGGGATTAAATTTATTCTCAAATCAGTAAAAGTTCTCAAATTAGTTTGGAAAGGAGAAATGGATGCAAAAATAATGAAACAAGTAAAAAGATCAATTTCTCAACTTGATTACAGATTAAAAAAAACTGAAATAAAACCCCACTGAGGACCATTCTTGTTTGGTGACATTTATTTTGTTATACATTTCTTCATATATAACATTCTTATTCTGTAAGAGTGTGTGGGCTGAGGACTCAGCAGCGGGGACCTTCAGAGAGTGCTGAGACTGACAGCTAGTTGACTTTGACAAACACCCTTTAAGTGGGCTCTCTGATAGAAACCATGCTGTGATGATGGGGCACACAGAGATGTTCAGCCAAGTACCTGCACCCAGAGGAACTCAGCCCTACACAAATAATCCACAGGGCACATGCCATTGCACAGCTGTTTTTACCCTAGGCAGAGACCTTCCTACATGCATCTGCAGACACACACACCACACAAATCTGAGTCATGGAGCCTAAGGAGGCAGAGCCTGGCAGCATGGGCAGTGAGGAAACGGACTTTGATTGAACTCTTGCCCAAAGCAGATACACATCCTCCTCTCCAGCATCCCTGGAATATGGCCATCCAAGTTATCCATGAGCACATCCTTTGAGCCCATCTCTTCAGGTATTTTATTTCTTTGTTGGACAACTCTGTGTTAAAGTATTTATACTGCAGTATTTCTCAAAGTTAGGTTTGTGGGCCACCTACACCAGAACATTTTATGTGCTTGTTAAAATCATAGATTTCCAAGCCCAATTGTATATGCGACTAAATCAGCATTTGGAGCAAGGAGGGAAACAATTAATTTGCATTGTTCATGGGTGTCTTGGGTGATGCTTATGTACAGAGAGTGAGATCCACTGTTACAGTCAGTGACTTCTAGACCCGTGACTTGGTTCCATCCACCTAAACACAGCGCACTAGTTCTCTCTTTTTTACAGCACCTCTTCAAATACTTGAAGACTTCGTTTGACCCTCCCTCCTTTGGACTCATTTATAACCCATGTGAATCAATTTTCCTTCACAACAAGGCTCCACACCCCAAACCACCTTGGGCATGTTCTTCTGGATCCTCTGACACTTGTCAGTGTCTCTCCCAAAACTTGACGCCCCAAGACAACACATATGCAATGTGAGGCAGGGAGAGAGAGTGGGTGGATTTCTAATGCCTTTACCACACGCTGCAAATTTTATCAGGCACGTTCACTGACTCTCTTGCCAGGTGATCATGAGACTCCCTTTGTCAGCCTAAACTAAGCAGCAGGAAACACGGCCACTTCAGGAAAGTCAGTCATTCAAATTACCTGTGACACTGACGTCTCAGCGTTGTTTTAATTTGGCTGGCCCCTGTTTCTATCTCCACCTCTAGATTGGCAGTTAGTAGGCCTTCTGTGAACTGTCCATTCTCGTTCACTCCTGGTTGTTTCTTTTAATTTATTACACCTGTTATTGGGCTGAAATAGCCCTTTCTAGATATCATCTCATCAAATCCTCAAAACAGCATTTTCTCACTTGACAGATGAACAGACTGAGCCTTGAGGAATTTATAATGATGAGAAAACACAAGGAGGTGCTCCACTTCCTCACTGACCTACTCCCATGATTAATCAACATCTTCTGGAGAAAAGATCATATCAATAGGATCAAGTAGATGCAGTGAAATTATGAGGAAGGCCCGAGGACATGAAATTCCCATACTCCAGAGTTCCCTAATACTCCTGCCTGAAATGCCCTTTACTTTGTCTGTTGCTTCTCATGGTCTTCAGGGTTGGTCACCAAATAACAATCAATCAGTGGGTAGCAGTGCCATTTAGTGATACGAGGTATAAGGAAGATATATGTATCTATTCATTTATTTGTTAAGAGAAGTGACATGTGCCTGTCCCAAAAGAGCATCAGAAAAAGATTAAAAGGAGCAGTTTGGAGATAAAGCAGTACTCTGGAACAAATTAGTTAGCAGCATGATCAGTATAAGGTACACACGCAAGTTAGACTGCCTTTCATTTTGTTCCACTTTATATTATCTGATATCTCAAGACCAGTGTTTACCCAATTAACCAAGACCCTAGTGTTAATTCATTATTTATAGTATTTTAGTCCAAACAACTGAGCTTCTTGTGGATTTAGTTAATTTAATCAAATTCTATGCAATTACACACTAATTAAAAATACATATGCTTAAAGTTAAAATGCTGATATCTAAATCAATTGAGTTTACAAGATTAGAAGAAATGCAAAGGACTAATTACAGACCTGAATTGGAAGTAAAACTAAAACTAATTTAATCAGATTCTCTTTTTTATATAGAAGGTAGCCAAGGCCCAAAGGTCACAAATTCTCAGTGTCACACAGTAACACTGAGATGCAAATCCAGGTTTCCTAACTCCAAATCCATAGCCCTTCATCTGGACCCTTCCCTTGAGCTTTCCCAACTTCACTCAAACTCTGGTCTCCAAAAAACCTCAACATCTTCTCAAACAACACCTATATTTAAGGATCAAAACTGGTAAAACTATATAAAAGGTCTTGGTTCTGGGTCTTTGCCTTTTCAAGTAGCCAATAAAACTCCTTGGGGACTACATATACTCTTCTCTAAGCTTTTGACAATTTATTCCTTACTAATTATTAACAGAAACCAAATTTTCCTTAATAACATAATAAACACTCCAAGAAATCTTTTAAAGTATTATGTAAATATGATGCCCATTTCCTCAAATACATAAGAACAAAAACATTTTTCTTTATTCTTTACCATTCTAAGTTCCCTTATTACACTGTGTTTTTAGACAAATCCTTTTAAATCAAGCAAAAATGTGAAGCTCATTTACTCAACATTATAGGTTTAGCTCCTCCATCATTTACTGCATAGCCACCAGGCTTTCTTTACAGAACCTGAAAAGAATTTTAAACCTTCAAGAGATTGCTCTAAATTAGAGAACGAAATGAATTTTAGCAAGCAAAGGATATTCTAACTGATACAACTTTTGCTTGATTATGTGTACATCCTCCAGAGCATAGTCTAGATTATCTGCTAACCTACACTGACCTCAGCAGAGCTCTTTCCACCTTTACTCACTAGTCACAACCCCACAGGACCACTGCTCCCTTGCTCCCCACCCAACCGTCAGCGATGCTCTCTCATTCACATTCACCCTCTCCTCAACCCCCAAACCTACCCTGGGCATTATCTTGAAGCAGCACCCTGAGTCCACTAAAATTGATAACATGGAAGCCATGTTTACTTCAAAATCCTCTGTAAACCTTGGAAGCATCCAGGAAGCTTTCCATCCCATAAGGACAGGCTCTTGCACACCCCTCTTAGGAAATTCAGGCATGTGACCCCTCTGCCCTCAGAGGGAGGCTGTCCTCCCAGAAAGCCAGAGAGAGAGCCTGGGGCCACACTCACTGCAAATCGGACTTGGCAGTTCTCCTCTCCCAGGTAGCAGAGGTCGCCTGAGACGTTGGTCTCCAGCCACAGGTGCTCCCCGTTCATGGCGTTCTCCTGCAAGGAAAAGATCCACCCACTTCAGTGCTCTCTTCAGGGATAAAGGGGGTGCAAGACAGGTAGTGATCCAAGGACTTCAAACATTTCTTACTGAACCCCTCAAAGTACCACTGGACTTGACCCTACTGAATTCGACAAATGGAAAGAAATGTTGGGAAAACTTGGAGCTATAACTAAAACAGACATGAAGTCTAGGGTACTTTATCTATGGATGCAGTCATTATTAAAACATATATTTAACAAATGAGGGAAACAAAGATTATAAATAGTTCCATGTAAAGTCTTATTTATCGCGACCCAACTCTGCAAATTCCATGAAAACTGAGATAAAATTCTATTAAAATTTGACTTAACTTAGCAAATTAGCTAAAAAGGAGGACAGTAGAGTTAAAGTACTTTAAGTAAGACTGTTTGAAAACACATTTACTTATATCAAAAAACAACAAATCACACTTTCAAGGACAGAAGCTTCTTAAAACTTAAGTTAAAACTCTAGTACTCAAACCATAATAAATGTCTACTAATTCAAACATTTTATTAAGTTAAAAAGGCCTTCCACTCATTTTAAACTTTTTTAACTGAGTAATTTTACTGCTTCTAAAAATATCCAGTTCTGATGGTGAGGGAGCTGCTATGATGTATGATAAATGAGCAACAATTTTACTTTCCAATTTATGTGCAGTGTGTGATTGTGCCGAGCAGGTGAATGCTTGTCCTCCTTTAAACTATGATGAAGGGAATCCCATCTTCCTTAAGATACACTATCATCGAAAGGATGACTTTACATCATTGATTGTCTATCTTGTTTATGTGCTAAAAAAAGGCTCTGAGATATTAGGTAAAATATTGTTTTAGACTGACCATAAAGGAATAAGACAAAGTCTACAGGTCTTCCAGGGGTATTCCTCTTATTTTTATCTTATGTATCAGAAATATATGGGCCTGTAGCTATTTTTTACAGAAGATGTTATGGACTGAATTATGGCTCCCTCAAAATCCACATGTTGGAACTTAACTCCCAACATGATGGTGCTAGGAGGTAGGGTCTTTGGGAAGTAACTGGGTTATGAAGATGGACCCTTCATAAGAAAATTAGTGCTCTTATAAGAAGGGGCACAATAGAGATCTCCCTCCCCCCCTCTCTTATGCGATGAACTCAGGAAAAGCCATATAAGCACAGGGCAAGAAAGTGGCTGGATGTAAACTGGTAGAGGCCCTCACCAGGAACTAAATCTGCCAGAGCCTTCACCTGCGCCTCTCAGCCTTCAGGAGCACAGGAAGAGAGACAGAGAGAGAGAGAGAGAGAAAGAGAGAGAGAGAGAAAGAGAGAGCCTTTTGTTTAAGCCATCCAGTCTATTGCATTTTGTTTTAGGACCTTGAGTAGAATAATATAAAGATGAGTTCAGTCAAAAGTTTTACAGAATAACCAAGCAATTTAGAAATCCATCTTACATGTGAGCCATTCTTTTATAAGTCACACCTAACGTGTCCACACAATAGCCCTCTGGATCCTAAAGCTCACCACAGAGAAGCAGAAATACAAAGCAAATCATGCTTTTTGGGGGTAAAAAGCAATTCTCATCCATTTTTAAAAATAAAAGCATTTTTTTCAGCTTCAGGGATAAAACGTTTTTCTTTAAGAGGATATAGTCTCAAGCATTTTCAGGCAAGAAAACCCAAAGGCTTTATCATGGCCTGTGATCTGGCTTCCTGCCATCCAAAGCAGGTGATGTCAGTTCTACAGCAGAAAAAATGATGACTGCAAGGGTGGGAAAAGTGATGAGTTGTGCAAATGTGAAGGCCCAAAGTGGTCAATCTAGCCTGAGACTTGGGGGCAGCAGGACTGCTAAGATTAGCTTGACTCACTCTTAGGTGGGAACCTGACTTAAAAGAGACAGATCTTTGGAAGGAAAAATGGGAGGAGGGGAGAGATGGAAGCTTTATTGTGTGCTGCCCCTGTGGTCTTAGCACACTGGTTCTCAAATCTGGCTGCATACTGTAATGACCTGGTAAATGTTTAAAACAGTTGGTCCTTTCCAGAGAGTGTGTGTCAATGGATCCTACGCAACAGATTATCCAGTTTCCAAGGTAATTCTAATGTTCTACATTCTGGAACTCATTAATCCAATACATCCTACCTCTTTAAGATTTTCAGGTAACAGATTCTAGAAGTTGTCTGTGAGTGAAGATCTGTTATACTTGATACTTCCCTATCCTATACAATCACAGGAAAATGAGAAGGTGGGAGAGGAAAAGAGATGAGACAAGAGGTAGCCCAGTGGGATTTTTAAGGAAAGACACATTATACATGCTTAAAAGAGAATGGCTATAAGAAGTAAGACAATACACAAAACAGAAAAAAGTTACCATCAAGAAGTGCAAATATGGACAATGGTCATATGGAAAACTGTATGATATAAAGTCATGAATAAAAATGAAATTCGGGCCCGGGATTTAGCTCAGCGGTTTCACCGCCTGCTGTGCAAGTGCAAGGACCTGAGTTCAATCCCCGGTACCAAAAATAAATAAATATGCAATTCAAAATTGACTGTATATTATGACCACCACTCTACATAAAAATAAGGGCTGAAGAAAACCAGTGTATATGTGAGTCATTTGATTTCTTGACCCACACATCTATTTCTACTTATTGTTCCCCATTACTAGGAAAGTTTAACAAATAATTTTTCTTATTTTCTGCCTCTACTTCCTTTCCAATCCATTGGGCTTTTTCCAGCTTTGATCTTTGGTTTTTGTCGGAACATATTTGTAGTATATAATGATTACATTTCCATTGTTTCTTGAACTCAATTCCATCAAGCTTTCTTCCTTCACCTTCTATTATAACTGCTCTTCTTAAGATCACCAGTAACTTCATATGGCTGAATCCAGTGGCTGTTTCTCAGTCTCCATCATGATTAACAGCTGAGACAGAGATGATCCATCCTTTCTTCTAGGGACACTTTTTTCTACTTGTTTTCCATTTCTCGTTCCTCCATGACCACCCTTTTTCATTCTTCTTTGTTGGTTCTTTCCTATATTCCTCAGCTCTAGATACTGGAGTCTTCTACAGCTCAGCACTCACATCTTTACTCTTCTCCATCTACATTCAGCTCTTAAGGTTACTGCATTCAGTTCTCGCAGTTTGAGATCTCAAGTAGTTATTGCTTCCCAAATTATTCATTCAGTAGAAACCTCTTCTTTGAACTTCAGACTCACAAAAAACTGCCCTCTCAGAATCTCCACTGAAAGACCTAATGAACATCTCAAAATTCCACACTCTCAAAAAACCTATTGATCCCTTCTTGATTTGCTCTTACTTTAATCTTCTCCCTGAATTTTCAGTAAAGGGCATTTTCATTCTTACTGCATAAGCTAAAAATTTTGGAGTCATTCTAGATACAGTATCTCTCTTTCTCACACCTTCTTTAGCGGAGCTACTTATCATAGTTTCAAACTGTATTTAAAACATTTTTTAATCACTACTCACCACTTCTGCTGTTACTGATAGCTCTGGCTTGGAATATTCCGGCACACCCACACCCACATTGGTGTCTCTGCTTTACTCTTGACTCCTCATGGTCTGTTTTCCAAACAGCAAGCAAAGTAATTGAAGTGTAAATCTGATCAAATCACTTCTGCTCAAAGCTCTTCATTAGCTACCTTTAGGTAGCTAAGGAAAGACCCATGTTATTTCTCACTCCACTTTGAGTATCCTTGGGTATCACTCTGACTTCTTTTCCTACCTCTCTGCTCTCTCACTTCTTGTTCCTTTTACTTCATCTTCACATTTCTCCAAGGCTGACTTACAATCACAAGTGTCTCCTTGCTCCTTCTCAAGCAGGCTAAGGAATTTCTCACCTCAAGTCCAATAAATTTGAAGCTCCGTTGCCTAAAGCTTGCTTGCATCTGATGTCAGTATTGCATATTCCTTACTTAATTCAAATCACTGTTCAAATCTTTGTGCATCAAAGATGTTCACTGTGTATTCTGTTTCTGTATCTAAACTGCCTTTCCTCCACTACGATTTTGTATGGTTAATTTCTATTCATATTTTGGTCACCAAATCAAAAATATCCTCACTGATCCTAAAATCTAAGTCAAGTTATTTTGTTAGTTTCTGTCATAAAGCCATCTTCTTTTACCATCATTTACCTTGGCCAGAAATTATTTATGCATTAGCATGATTATTTAATGTTTTCTTTTATATGAGAGTCTACAAAACTTGAAAACATTAAATGTCCAGGAACTAATTTAGTGCCTGGCAACAGTAGATGCTTTAAAAAATTTGGAAACTAAACAAAAATGAAATATTAAAGTCACTGAATAAATTAATGAGTGCACATTCCTATTATGTCCAACTCCAAAGAATGGGATGAAATAATTATTTTAAATGCACATTATTTTGGAGTCATGAGTTATAAGATGTAAATATGAATGCCTTATAAGTAGAGAAATGGGAATCTTTTAAAATCAGGAAAAGAAGCAGGGTACTTTAAAACTGGAATACAAGAAAAAGATAAAAGTGTGCCTTCTACTTACAGCATTTTTGGATGCCCTGTCCTTTTCTTGCTTATCTGTACTACCTGATACTTAATGAAGTACATAGTAAAGAAGTAAACTTATTTTTAAAAAAGTCTGGCCTTTGACTTCAGCTCCAAAAAAGTAATCTGTCCTGCCCAGTAACAGTATTTTACTTATCTGGGGATATGGCCAAGATAGTATCATCCTGACCTCCAGACGAACTAGAGGTTAAGGTCAAACACCAACGCTTCAATGAGCTTCCCTGGTCAGCAACTTGCCATGTATGTCCTTTCATATGATTGCTAGCAGAGTTAGCTAGCTGTCCCCAACTTCACTGGTTGAGTGTAACAGCTTTAGAGAGTTGTATGTGTCTGTCTAGTATATCCTCAACCTAAGTATGATCTTAGAAATCCTCAAACTTCAAGTTGACGTCAGAAGTGAGGGTGGTTTTAGGGACTCTTGAGTTATGTATG